AAATGCAAGTCTATTTTGTCTCTTTTCTCCACTCCCCTCTATCAAAATGATCAAGAAGGCATTTATTCTTTTTATTCCCCAAAGTTGCATTCAGATAGAAAGTTAACATGCTAAAGTCGGCAATCACTTTCAATCCTAATACGACTGCAACAAATCAACTAGCCAACTTGGAATTATTAGGTTTAGCCCTTATCCAGCCACATAGCATGTATCTTGGGCTCCCATCTATTATTGGTAGAAGTTGAAAGCAAATCTTTCAAGGAGTAAAGGAAATTGTGTGGAAAACTTTGATACCGTGGCGAAAAAAATTCTTTTCAATTGGTGGTGAAGAGAATTTAGTTAAAGCGGTTGCACTGGCTATACCCTTGAGTGTCTTCAAAAACTAATGGCTTTGCAATGAGATTAAGAAACTTTTAACGTTCTTCTGGTGGTTTAAAGAGAGGGCAAGAAGAAAATACATTGGTTCCTACCGACACTGATGTTTAATCCAAAATTAGGGGTAGAATTAGTTTTTAAGAATTGGTGAAATAATGTAAGTGAATTTTTTCTTTTCCGTTCACTTTCTGCTAGAATCTTAAAGAGTAAGTACTATCCGCTGACACCTTTTTTCATGCAGATCATAGAGATGGTTGTTATTTCTGGTGAAGTATTTCATCGGGTTCATGACCTCTGTAAAAATTGAATTTGATGGAGGTCATGAAACAGACATAGCATATCAGTCATTGGTTCACCATGGCAGCCTAAACCTCACTAGGGAACCTATTGCTTAATATGGCTTACTTAATGACTGATGAAGGGTTAAGGAGACAGGGACTCATTTTTGAAACTTTCTTAATGCAGGATAGGGACCTTATCTCGTCCCTTCCGTGCAATTTTCCCAATGTGCACAACAGCTACTACAACAAAAAGAGCTTTTTACAGCATATGCTTACAGTGTGCAATTAACACGTGCCGTAAAAATAGACTTTTTGCGACGTGCAAAAAATGTGTGCCGTAAATGATCAATTGCAGAAAGTATTTACGACTTACATTTTTTACGGTTTGCATGTATGCACGCCGTAAAAACCTAACTTGATTATTTACTCCGATTGTTTACGGCATGCATTTTTGCGCACCGTAAAAACCTAACAAGATTATTTACGGCATGCAAAATGCACGTCGTAAAAAACAAACCGATTTGTGCCGTAAAAAAAGGGGAAAAATGTAAATGGGTCAATTATTTGGCCGAATCCGGCCCTGATAGAAACAACCCTTCAATCTCTAATCAATTGAACACCAAGTTAAACACAAAATTGAGAAGGTAGACGCCCTGCATCTTGCACACAAATTGCAACACCATGGCTGCATATCTCACGCCCTGCATCCACTCGCAAGTCCCATGTTGGTTGTTGATGCCAATGGTGCCGTGGTCTAAAGACTGAATAGTAGCAGCGTTTTCGGTTTATCCAAGGAAAGGAAATTTTGAGGTAAGAAATTCCTTTTGAGTTTGGACAGGTTACATGAATTCTTCTTTAATGCAAATCATCGTTTTTTTGCTTTTTCTTGATTTGGGTTTTTGTTTTTATCCCTAATTTGTGCGATTTCTTTTATTTCTTATCTGTGGTGCCTTTTTTCTTTTCTTGTTATGTGGTCATTCGCAATCTGCAGNTCTAGCTGAGGGTCAGGACTGCTATCTACCTATGATTGAGATGACCATTGCAAAATATCTTTGATGGGGAGCAGTATTTTAAATTGATGTATTGGTTCAAAATTTCAAATATTTGCTTACAAATATTCTCGAGATTTGCATCAATTTATTGAACTCCCAATTCATTTAAGCTCATTCTTTTAATCACCAAAAGTGAAAGAAATTTCTTATTAACTGAAAGTGAAAGAAATCTGTTAATGACTGTTGGTATAATGTATTTTTGATGTTTGCTAGAGCTACAGTTTGATAATGCTTGTGTTGATTTACATGTCTGATACTGTAGTAACTTGATGCCGGTGGATATGTCATCATTGGCCAAGTTAGTCCAAAATGTATTTATTTCACCATTTGTTGATCAATTGATGGTTTCCACTTTTGAGGGTGTATATGAACGTTTCATCATAGTGACATTTTGCTCGCTCTTCTGCAAGGTTAATGGTACTTTCTAAATTAAATAACTATATGCTCGCATGTTAATATCCCTAAAAGTCATTTGTCTTGTGGCAGGTATGTGTCATCTGACCTGGCAACAGATGTTATCGTAATTATTGGTGAAGCTTAGTTTCATCTTCACAAGGTAAATTCTATCAAACTATTTGTGTAGTGAACAAGTTCAAATAAATTTATTTCTTGAATAATTTCATTTATTGACATTTCTGAACTCGAGATATTTATCCCTGGTTAAGGAGCCACACATTTGTGCTTTTCTGTGTAATTACCTTATTAACTGATCATATTGAATTGTGAAACACATAAATTCCTGTAAGAGATTCTTGATACATAATTTTTCTCAACTTATCTTTTGTATTCATTACAAGGAGATTAATTTAGTTTAAATTATCTTTCACTTGCTCTGTTTTTTTCTTTTTTCTTTTTTTGGGGGATTAATCTAATTTAAAATAATATTTTTTACCTATTCTCGTGCGTACATGCTGTTTTTTCCTTTTCAATACTCATCCTGCTTTATGATGACATATGGTACAGATTTGCATTTGCAGTTTCCTCTATTGTCCAAGAGCAATCTCTTACAAAAGCTTGTTTCAAGAGCCAGTGAGGAGAGTTCAAACAAAATTAAGTTGGCTGATTTTCCTGGTGGACCAAAAGCATTTGAAATGTGTGCTAAATTCTGTTATGGAATGATAGTTACTCTTAATCCTTGCAATGTTGTAGCCGCACATTGTGCTGCAGAGTATCTTGAGATGATTGAAGATGTTGAGAGAGGAAACCTGATTTTCAAGATTGAGGTATTTCTCAACTTGAGTATTTTACGAAGTTGGAAAGATGCCATTATTGTTCTGCAGACTAGCAAGACTCTTCTTCCATGGTCTGAGAATCTATAGGTGTAGCCAGATGCATAGATTCCATTGCATCGAAAACCTCTGTGGATCCCTCGAAAGTTGCTTGGTCATATACCTATAATCGGAAATCAGCAGCTTCAGAAAAGATAATTGAGAATGCCATGAAGTTTCCTAAGAAATTGGAATCCGTTCCAAAGGATTGGTTGATTGAAGATATATGTGAATTAGACATTGATCTGTACATGCGGGTTATGAATACCGTGAAATCTAAAGGTAGAATGGATGGAAGTGTTATTGGAGAAGCACTGAAGACTTATGCAGTCAGTTGGCTGCCAGATTCCATTGAATCTCTGGCATCTGAAGCTTACAGAAAGGGTAACAAATCTTTGGTCGAAACTATAATTTGCCTATTGCCTTAGGACAAGGGCATTAGCTGTTCTTGTAGTTTCTTGCTCAAATTACTGAAAGTTGCTATTCTAGTTGGAGCAGACGATTAGTCTAGGGAATATTTGATTGAAAGTATCAGCTTGAAATTGGAAGAGGCTTCCGTCAGTGATCTGTTGATCCCATCAAGATCTCCCTCAGATGAATTTTTTTTTTTGAATAATAGTCTTTTGAGAATTGTTGAGATGNCCAAACAGGCCCTATATTGACATACTGTAGTGAACGATATTTAATATTTTATTTATCGAAACAATTTATGGATTAATTTTGTCTTGTTATTATTATAGGTTTGCTGGTAATAAAATAAATAAATAATTTTTTAAAAATAATTTCTTATGCATGCCGTAAATTGTACTTTTTAAGGTGTGCAACAGAACGCCATAAAAAGTGTTTCACAATTTTTACGGCGTGCAACAGAACTCCGTAAAAAGTACAATTCTTTCTACGGCATGCAGCTGAACGTCGTAAAAACTCATTTATAACGTTCTATAGACGGCATACTCTGTATGCCGTAAAAGGTAAACCACATTTTACGGAATGGCTTTATATGGCATGCGGCCGCACGCCGTAAGGAGGTTTTTACGGCATGTACACATGTTGGATGGAAAATGAAGATCCTAGTTATATGTGGATATTTAGTTTAATACAGTATCGTTGAAGTTTGGTGTGTGGTCCATGTTGAAGAATACAACTCAGTCGAGTTAAGAAGTTATGGGTAGTGTTGCTTTGCCACCATCACTAGCAGTGACATTGTGTTCAATTATTAGGGACATACCCAATAGAGATATTAGGCTACCACAAATGTATAGGAAGGCTGATTTAGTTGCCTATGCTTTAAGTGTGGTTGAAGGTGTTGAATCTAGTGAACAACCTTCTACAGAAGCATTTGAGGTGTTGATTCTGTTTTAGGGCGTGTTTTGGCCATGTTTGGTAACTTTTGGAATTATTTGTGATTTTGTTGCTCGCGGCGATAATTCGAGCAAATATTGGTACCTGAGGTAATTCTGCTGAGTAGTGCTTAGATTCAGTTGA